AAAAAAATAGTTCTTCTCCCAGCGTTGTCTATTTTAGCTGTTGTATTCTTAATCTCTGATCTAACATTCCAGGGGTACTGTGAATACTCTGCCACTGGGAGAAAGGAAGAAGCACAGCCTATCCATGATATCTGTGAGGCTTTCTCTCAACTATCCATCCACCCACGAGTGCCTTCTACAGTTTCAGATACTACTGGCTAGCTCACAAAACCGAGAGTCAAATGTAAGGTCACTAATGCTTGGACCCACACTAAGTAGCTACAATACAGCATATTACCTTTAGCATCCAACATAAATCGGAATTTAGAAGAACCCTAGAAGATACAGTTCAGTACTTAAGAATTGCTTGAGCAATTTCTTTGCCTATAAAAGCCTCCCAGAAATTCCTTTTCACAATAGGTTTATCTTTTAAGACTTTTTGTCCAAAAAGAGTCAATGACAACTTACACTAAAGGGCACAGTCGTAACATGTAGAAGTACAAATAAAACAGAAAACCGTTAGGTGGCCAATTTTATTGGACTAGAAACCACTTCCTCAAAAGCAATTCATTTAAACAAACAAGTGAAAATGTTAAAATGTGTATTTCTCTTCTTATAATAGTTATATTCAACATGTTTAGTAAACAAGATGAGGAATGTAAGACTTAGAGGTTAGGTGGCATGGTAAGAGGAATATGGATTCTGCAGATTACGGTTCAAGTTCATAAGGTTCTTCAAGTTCAGATTATGATTTCTGAACCTCAATTTCTTCATTCTGCAAATGTAAGGTCTACTTCATAAGGTTGTTCTGCATAACAAAGAAAATAAAGATGCAGGTATTATATGTTAATCTCTTCAACTGCAGTCTAGTTTAAAAGGTGAAATTACAAGTCACTATAATCCAGAGGCCCAGAGTAAAGAGCTTCCTAAGGGTTACAGATAACATGCTTTGGCTATTTAGTGGAGAAGATTTTCATCTAGGTAGAAACCCAGAAAAAGACTTCCTAGAGGAGACTGCACTGTGATGAGGGGAGATTTTGAATTCAGAATGGGTAAGAATTAGTACTGAAGATGCAGTATAGGCTTTGCATAAGCAATGTCACTGAGTAAGATGACAATATATAGGTTTCAGCCAGGCAAGGGACACACTTCTATTTGACTTCATAGGATAGCATAAATGAACAAAATAAACAGAAAACCTACTATAGTTTTATTCAAACTAATCAGGACAAATAAAAGAAAGTGACTGTTCATATCCAATCAGTGGGATGAATCACACTATGGGTCAGAGAGCAGACAAGAGAGCAGACACCTCCAGAGCCAAGCCCAAGATATGCCTCACCCTTCCTTTATGCCCATCCTTGATAATGAATCCTGCAGCAAAAGTGGCTTCAGTGGTTCTCGCAGAAAAAATGGTTTCACAGAGAAACCAACGGTAGATTTGAGCATTCAGGTCACCACAAACTGTACTTGCCCTTTTCACTTTAGTCATGGGCTACCTAAAAGGAAATTCTAATTTCTCATAGAAGTAATCTTTGTGGTTCAGTACTGTTTCCAATCCTAATCACTTGGAGTCACTAGCCATTTCTGGCTAAAGATTGAAGCATTTAAAATAAATCTGGACGCAGGATAGAGAATTTTATTGCATTATTGTGCACTTTATTCTTAAAAAGTAAAATTAAAGAAATAAAGAGTCCTAAGCAAAGTATGTAAAATATTAGTGTAGATCAAAAGAAAGAGATTAGAGATGGCAAAAGTGAATACAGTGAAATTAAAGCCCTGCAGCAATTTCAGGACTATAAGGAAAATTATTGGAGTTCTCTTTCTCCCTGGTATGTTTTTAAAGGAAAAAAGTAATTCTCATGAGACAGTAACAGAAAGGAAAGAGGAAAACAGCTGGCCGTGAGCCATGGTTTACCATTCACCACAAAATGAGAGTCTGTTTTTATTTTTCAGAGGCCATTGTTTTTTTGGAAGCAGACCCAGACTCTACTTACGGTGTCAATTATGATGAGGAACTTAAGATACAAGGAAGGATTCCAGATGAGTCACTTAAAAGACAAGGCAAGAACATAAAAGTCAAATTGTGTTCTAAAATATTATTAAAACAAAAACTCTGTATAACCAAACTAGCTCCCACATCCTAGCAACAGCTCACTTTAAGAAAACAAAATACAGCTAATTCTAATTATGAAAAGCCCTTGTCTTTGTGATATAGTGGGGGTTTAAGTGGTAATTAATCCAAATTTGCTCAGATGATGTGGACAAACTCTCCTTTTATAAACCAAGAACCCTATAATAGTATCATCCACCTAGGTCACCGTGTAGTAAAGCCAACCCTCTTTAATTCTTTTCACAGGAAATGTTAATGGAAAAAAATAACATTTTTCTGCCTGGGGAAAATGCGTTGTGAAATCAACAGTGTAATGTAAGGGTTTTAGAAGGGGGAAAAAAAGGCCATGCGCCTTAAAGCACAAGTCAAATTTAGTTTATTGAAATGGTTGTGTCTTTGTTTCAATTTCCAACCTAACTTTTCTCAGGGTACATTTAAACTACTACTTTTTTTGGTATAATCGAGTCAAAAAAGAAAACTAGGTATCAAAATAGGGTGAGTGGTCTGCTGATAAATCAAAGGCAACTGTTATCTATCTTTATGTGCATTAGAAAATATTTTAATGGGCACATAAGTTTATTTTTTAGATTATGGCTAAGTCTGTGAAATTTATTCCTGAGATCTCCAAACTTTTTTTGTACTGGAAAACTTTTTGTTCAATCCACTTAAAATCAAATCCATCATGAGTTCTTTGCAGGGTATGGATACCGTTGGCAGTCAAAATGGACACCCTTGTTTCCAATGTACTGGCTGAAGACTTTGTTCTAAGAATCCCCTCTAATGACAAGGTTGTAAAAGAGGAGTTTTTAATGTCACGGGATTATCTATCTTTAAACTCATGACATCTTTTTTCTTGGGGTGGAGTTAGGCGAGGAAGATTACAGAAAAGGTTAAGATTCTTGGTTGAAAGATATCCTTTTAAAGTAAAGGGGAGATGGAAGAGAGGAATTACACCATGATGTCAAAGGCATTATTTATCATAACTACATTTTGAAACTTTAGGAAACTCCTTATAAATAATATCTTGTTTTCTCTCTTAAAAATATATAAAACTTGGATTTTTTTCCTTTCACAATTATTGTTTGTCTGGAAGTTTGGGAAACACTTTCCCTCACACACACAGCCTCATGTACTACCAAAGTCCACAACAGAGGAGTACATTTATTACAAAGGAGAAACATGCTGATATATTATTGTCTCCAATGTCCATAGTTTAGATTAGGCCATTCTTTGTACTGTACATTCTATGGGGTTTGACAAATGTAGGGTGATACATATCCACCATTACAGAATCATACAAAATAGTGCTATTGTCTTATGAATCCTGTGCTTTGCTTTTTTATCTCACCTTTCCCCTAGAGGACGTTATGGTCTACAAAGACATTTTTTTTTTTTTTTTT